GGTGGGGTAGGACTTCCCATTTAAGCGTTTCCAAGTACGTTTTCACCGGTTGTGCAACATGTGGCCGAGCATTGTCATGTTGCAAAATCACTTTGTCGTGTCTCTGCTCATATAGCGGCCGTTTTTCCTTCAATGCTTGGCTCAAACGCATCAATTGTAGTCGATAGCGATCTCCCGTGATAGTTTCGTTTGGTTTGAGCAGCTCGTAATAAACTACACCTAGCTGATCCCACCAAATGCAGAGCAGAAGCTTCGAACCATGGATATTCGGCCTTGCTGACGATGTTGATGCATGACCGGGCTTACCCCACGATTTTCTACGCTTAGGGTTATCGTAGTGTATCCATTTTTCGTCACCCGTCACGATACGATGCAGAAAACCTTTCCTTTTCTGCCGTTGAAGCAGCTGTTCACATGTGAAAAGACGCCGTTCGACATCTCTCGGCTTCAACTCGTACGGCACCCAATGTCCTTGCTTTTGAATCATTCCTAATCCTTTTAAACGTTTCGAAACTGTTGTGTGATCAACTCCTAATGATTCTGCAAGTTCAGCTAGCGTCTGACATGAGTCTTCATGAAGTAATGCCTCTAATTCCTTGTCTTCAAACTTTTTTGGTGCACCAGATCGTTCTTTATCTTCAACATCAAAATCATTATTTTTGAAGCGTCTAAACCAATCTCTGCATGTTGTTTCCGACAGAGCATGGTCGCCGTAAGTCTCAACAAGAATTCTGTGTGCTTCAGCTGCAGATTTTTTTTGAATAAAATAGTGCAATAAAATTCCCCGCAAATACTCTTTTTTTGGCACGAAACTAGACATGTTTAACACATTGAAAAAATAAGTTGTTTACACTTCAGTGAAATGATATATACTGAATTTCAAGGTCGCTTATTGTACTTCCTTACAGATGCGTCACCATCTAAAAATAAACACACGTGGTTCTGGTAATGCCATCTGTTTGAAAACAGCGAGAACTTATTCAAGGTCCTTATATAATTAATGATAAAGAAAATTTAAATTATTCTACAATAATTTCTAACAAAATTTAATGGGATATTTGTTGCGATAAATCTTCAGCAATTTTTTCAAAATTTGGTTTCCACATTTTTAAATAGAGATTATAATTGTGCACTTACAATGTAATGGCTGTGAATTTATAATGTGCAGAACAATAAATGAATCTTTCAATTTTTGTAACAAATGTAATGTCTAAATTTGCTAAATATCAAGTAATGCACACATGCAGTGACATGCATTACTCTGCATGGTAGGGGTACGATCCAGGTCTTGTTATTTCTAATACCAGTACTCCAGTAAAAACATGAAAGGGCCCAATCTCATTGAGCAATAATTATAAAATAGAATAAAAATTTTTTTCTATTCTAACATTAATGCTCAGTTAAACCATAATTTTACTAGACTATAGGTTCACTCGGCACTAACGGCACATATAGACGGGCAAATCAAGTGGATAAACAAGTGTTTGGACTGTTAAAAGGGAAATCAGTGTTCATATTGGAATATTTTAAAGCAAGTTTTTGTCATTTCTTGTTTCTTGCATTAATAATTTACAGCAAATTGATTAACATATGTCATTTTATAATGAAAGTTAGATGTACCCCTTCATTTTACACTCGTACCCCTGGTTGAGAACCACTGATCTATTTCATGTTGAAAAAATTCTTAATTTTTTACCTACATGTCACCATATTATCTATACGAATATATTAATAAATAATATACCTGTTTTTGTTATTTTGAGACTTGTGTTGTTAGTATTCCTTCTTATCCTTGTCTAAGAGTCAATATGGTGTTAAATCAAATTTTTTTTTGAATTCTGCCTTTTTTTTTAAAAAAAAGGAGGTTCACTATAAATTATCTCATTATAACAACATTCACAGAATAAATATAATGTACCTGTTTTTTCTTTATATAAAATTCATTATGACTAATAAAACACAAATAGTTGTATCTTCTCCTACTTTGCCTTATATTGTCATTTTGTTTTTACCACTTTTACTATGCAATATCATACTAATTAGCATATTCTTATTGCGTAAGATGGCCAGTTGATGATTAAGCATTTGCTTTTATTTGATTTTTTCAAAATTTGATTCCCACGTTTTTAAATAGAGATTATAGTTGTGTACTGACCTTAAAAGTAATGGCTGCGAATTTATAATGTGCAGAACAATAAATGAATCTTTCAATTTTTGTAACAAATGTAATGTCTAAATTTGCTAAATATCAAGTAATGCACACATGCAGTGACATGCATTACTCTGCATGGTAGGGGTACGATCCAGGTCTTGTTATTTCTAATACCAGTACTCCAGTAAAAACATGAAAGGGCCCAATCTCATTGAGCAATAATTATAAAATAGAATAAAAATTTTTTTCTATTCTAACATTAATGCTCAGTTAAACCATAATTTTACTAGACTATAGGTTCACTCGGCACTAACGGCACATATAGACGGGCAAATCAAGTGGATAAACAAGTGTTTGGACTGTTAAAAGGGAAATCAGTGTTCATATTGGAATATTTTAAAGCAAGTTTTTGTCATTTCTTGTTTCTTGCATTAATAATTTACAGCAAATTGATTNATAAAACATTCTTTCAATTTCTACATTTTTACCTATTTTTGCATTTTTCAAATTCCTTTCACAATACCATAAGCCAATTTTCACTTATTTTTATGCTTAAATTTTTATTTATACAGTTTTTACTTTTAAGGATTTCTATACTTTCTTTGAATTTTCTGTTATATGTTTCTGTTTCTCTATGTAAAATTTTTATGTTATTCTGATCTATTGTTGTAAAACGATCATAAAAAGACAGAGTTGAGTCTATGATGTTTCAGATCTTCTACATATTCTTTTAGTCTTACTTTCAGTTTTTGCTTTGTTTCTCCTATGTAGAATTTGGTATTGTTTAAGATTTAAATTTCCAAAACTTTTAGCTGATCAAAATAATTAATGCATGCAATCATTTTAAAGGCACTGTACTTCAATGGGTAACTTTCTCCACATAATACTTTTATCTATGTTCCTCTTAGACCAACTCAAAATTTATATCATTTGTAATTTTCTAATTTTCATCTTTCTTTATCTAGATGGTTGTTTTTTTTTATTGTGCTATTACAATACCTTTAAATGTGGAGTCCTTTTAATTTTTTGATTTTACTTATTTTACAGTTAATTGTAAAAAACACTTTATAATTTACCATTGTAATTCTTTTATTAAATATACATGTTTTCTCTTTATCTTATCATTTTTAATTTTTATATATTATATATATATTTTAAATTTTACATCTTGGTCTGTTAGTTTTTAATAATTTGTATTTCATTGTTTTTTGCTTTATATTGTTTTTATGGTGTTAGTAATTCCATGTTATATAGCATTATTTAATGAGTATAAATAAATAAAATATCAAGACATAGTAAATATTATTTTAATTTTACAAATTTCATACCTTAAAAGATTTCTGTAGAATTGTAATGGGAAACTTTTCAGTTGGTTCAGTAGTCAATAAAAGACGAAAATCAGGATGAACTTTTTCTTGATTATCAATTTCTTGTTCTAATTTGTCCAACCAATTTATCAGAAAATGACAGTTTTGAAAAATTAACCAATATCCTCTAGCCTTAGCAGTTCTTAAGAGTTGCAAAGCAGCCTAAAAAAAATTAAATAGAAAGTTATCATATATATAAAGATAGATTTTGATATTCACTTATAAATGTTCAAGATATATTTATTAGCTAATGAAGCCAATTAATGTTAAGTAGGGAAATAATAATAATGAAAAAATTTAACATTTACATACAAATAAGTATAGAGATAATTATAACCTAGAAAGATATTTAGATCATGTAAAATATTAAATACATTTTTCATGTATTACTAATAGTAATAATCTTAAATTAACAATAATTTTATATTTTATTTTCTTCACAAATATTTTAATTATATTTGAAATTGAATTTAATCTGATTATTTATAAAATTTTCTAAATAGCAGAGAGAAACCACTAATGTGAAATTAAAATATTTCATCAGCGATTATTCAAACTTCAGTTGAATCTTTAGTTGAGCCAGAAAAATTTCTATCATAGGCTCCAAAAATGAGTAAATTGAATGAGTGGATGAGTGAAATCNTATATTCAATTTTCAGAATCCCTTTTATAATACCTTCAGCTAATTTTCATTTATTTTTATGCTCAGATTTTTATTTATACAGTTTTTACTTTTAAGGATTTCTATACTTTCTTTGAATTTTCTGTTATATGTTTCTGTTTCTCTATGTAAAATTTTTATGTTATTCTGATCTATTGTTGTAAAACGATCATAAAAAGACAGAGTTGAGTCTATGATGTTTCAGATCTTCTACATATTCTTTTAGTCTTACTTTCAGTTTTTGCTTTGTTTCTCCTATGTAGAATTTGGTATTGTTTAAGATTTAAATTTCCAAAACTTTTAGCTGATCAAAATAATTAATGCATGCAATCATTTTAAAGGCACTGTACTTCAATGGGTAACTTTCTCCACATAATACTTTTATCTATGTTCCTCTTAGACCAACTCAAAATTTATATCATTTGTAATTTTCTAATTTTCATCTTTCTTTATCTAGATGGTTGTTTTTTTTTATTGTGCTATTACAATACCTTTAAATGTGGAGTCCTTTTAATTTTTTGATTTTACTTATTTTACAGTTAATTGTAAAAAACACTTTATAATTTACCATTGTAATTCTTTTATTAAATATACATGTTTTCTCTTTATCTTATCATTTTTAATTTTTATATATTATATATATATTTTAAATTTTACATCTTGGTCTGTTAGTTTTTAATAATTTGTATTTCATTGTTTTTTGCTTTATATTGTTTTTATGGTGTTAGTAATTCCATGTTATATAGCATTATTTAATGAGTATAAATAAATAAAATATCAAGACATAGTAAATATTATTTTAATTTTACAAATTTCATACCTTAAAAGATTTCTGTAGAATTGTAATGGGAAACTTTTCAGTTGGTTCAGTAGTCAATAAAAGACGAAAATCAGGATGAACTTTTTCTTGATTATCAATTTCTTGTTCTAATTTGTCCAACCAATTTATCAGAAAATGACAGTTTTGAAAAATTAACCAATATCCTCTAGCCTTAGCAGTTCTTAAGAGTTGCAAAGCAGCCTAAAAAAAATTAAATAGAAAGTTATCATATATATAAAGATAGATTTTGATATTCACTTATAAATGTTCAAGATATATTTATTAGCTAATGAAGCCAATTAATGTTAAGTAGGGAAATAATAATAATGAAAAAATTTAACATTTACATACAAATAAGTATAGAGATAATTATAACCTAGAAAGATATTTAGATCATGTAAAATATTAAATACATTTTTCATGTATTACTAATAGTAATAATCTTAAATTAACAATAATTTTATATTTTATTTTCTTCACAAATATTTTAATTATATTTGAAATTGAATTTAATCTGATTATTTATAAAATTTTCTAAATAGCAGAGAGAAACCACTAATGTGAAATTAAAATATTTCATCAGCGATTATTCAAACTTCAGTTGAATCTTTAGTTGAGCCAGAAAAATTTCTATCATAGGCTCCAAAAATGAGTAAATTGAATGAGTGGATGAGTGAAATCTTAGATTTTTATTAAGGCATAAATAATGAAAACTGAGGAAGTACTAGGTTTTAAATAATAAATCTAATTAGGTTTAATCCAGATTTACTATAAAAACAGACCAATATCAAATATTAAAACAATAAATTCTGAGGAACATTTAATATTTTAAAAGATAATTTCAGATGATTGAAAATAAGAGTGAAGGTGTTAATGCTCAGTTCCATGAGCGTTTATATTCAGTTAATAAAGGATTAAAACTGAGAAGAAAATTTATTTCCCATCTTTAATGTTTATTCTATTAAAATGGGAAAATAAACTGAAAGAATAGAGTAATTTGCAAATTGACTTAAAATTAAACAAAATTATTGTAGCATTAGAGCTATTTTTCAGCAAGAATGCTGTACCAGCAGATAGCATAAAAAATATTGGTAGCTTGTATGTCATACTGGCAGTTGTTCAGTGAAAAAAACACTGTTAAAAAATCATATACAGGAAATTCTCATTAGTTTAAAATTCATGGGACAAAATAATTACAATTTCAAATTATCACATTTTGAATTATCAGAGATTTGCATATTTCTGAACAATATGCCAAATGCCATGCAACTAATGTAATTTATTAAGCAAATGAAATATGGCTACATATACAGAACATTAATAATTAATATTAAATATATACTGTAAGGTCTCGTTTTATGCAGTGGATACGTTCTACAGAAAAGCGCATATAAAAAATTTGCATAAAAAAAGACTACTTGCCTTGAAAAAGTAGGGATATGTTCCGTAATTTTCTAAAATCGCATTAAACCAAAACAACGAGTTAAAATTAACTTAAAACCGCATAAAAAAGTTTGCAGAAATTAAAAGAAATAGGCTGCTTAATAAATTACTTCAAATGTCTGAAAGAAATTCATATAAAAGCTTAAAATAAACTTGTATTCAAACTTAATTCAGTTTATTTTNAGTTAAAATTAACTTAAAACCGCATAAAAAAGTTTGCAGAAATTAAAAGAAATAGGCTGCTTAATAAATTACTTCAAATGTCTGAAAGAAATTCATATAAAAGCTTAAAATAAACTTGTATTCAAACTTAATTCAGTTTATTTTATTGAAAAGTAATACAAGGGGAATACCCGAATTGCAAAAGCTCACTCTAAAAACAAATGACTGACATCTGGATGTGAAGAGTTAATTAAAACCCTTTTAGTTCCTCACCCAAGTTAACTTGGGCAGGATACATAGCGTTACATAAAACGCGATCCTTAAGGCCTGAAATTTTTTTTTGAATTTTTGGAATGTTTTTTGTCTCCAAATTTTTTACAAATATTTAAAAATATACAGCCAGCTAGTGTTCACCCTACTTTAAACCCTTGTCCTCCCGCGACGTCTATGAGAATGCCCCGGGAAATCCAACTCCAGCTGTGTTCAAGGTCATCCAGATGTGTAAACAAGTGACTCATCGGTGTTAAATTTCACAGAAGGGCGAGACAAAGGAAGTTAAACTATAAAGCTTTTTCTTCAAAATTAACGCATTTCTTTCGTTTTTTTTCAGTTTTAAGTATTTTTTATGTTTAATTACATTTATATCAAAAATTGCTAGGAACTAAAGCGATTAAGGTAGATCTAGCTGTCCATTACATCCATAAATGTTATATGTCAGCGGAACAAATGGAGTGAGCTTTGAGCGTTCCACGATTTTTGGAGACTGTCTATACACGGGCTTCCTAAATAAGCCTATAGGGGAGACCGGGGCAAGATCGGCATGTTAAGCTTTACTTAAATTTTGTGTAATAAATACTGCTGTAAACTGAAAAAAAAGCTTTGCATATTGTCTGTTGGAATGTTACCTTACTATAGAACTGGTTAAAATCAGTTTGGAAATAAAAATAATTAAAATAATTACAACTTTACAAGAAGAGAGAAATTGACGAAGTTGCCCCGGGTATAGGGGCAAGATCGGCAACTTCTCTCTTTTTGTAAAGTTGTAATTATTTTAATTATTTTTATTAAAGTTGCCCCTGGTATAGGGGCAACAGTAATGGGGCAAGATAGGCACGTATATAAAATTATGTTATTAACAATGTATAAGTTGGAATTCACTATTAAAACAAAGAAATACAAATCCAACACCCATTTAATATTATTACAACGAAATGCAAGTTCAAAGACATATATACATGAATAACAAATGCAAACATGTTTTCATTTATCATCTGTTTGATTTTTATCCTTTGCTTCTAATGTGGCTTTATGTTGCCGATCTTACCCCGCTAGTCATGATTTCGAAACATTAAGTACAACCCTGAGAACAGAATGCCAAGCCACGATCTGGCCACGTGAATAAGTTGAAGTTACATCCTTCTAACAGGAAAAGTAACTTTCGTTATCATGGAATTATAACAAAACCTGCCAATTCAATATAAATGGAAAAAAAATATTATATGGAATTGAACGAAAATGAAAATTTGCTTGATAATTCAACTACGCTTGTTGGAGAACAATAAAAACACTACACTCAACAAGCCACCAATAAAACTCAACTGCTTAACCTATAACCAAAGTCTCCTTTTAATTTGTTTTTAAAAAAAAGCGCTTGACAAACTTGCCCCGGTCTCCCCTATGTATATTTGTCCAAGAAATTTTTGGATGAAATACAAACCGCACAACTTCAAAATCGCATAAAAATAATCCGCATAAAAAGAGACCTTACAGTATATTATTAAATATTTATTAAATTATATTATTATTTAAATAATAATAATAATAAATGCCATATTGTTAGGAAATTCCTGAATAAAGACACTGACACTGACACACTTATTTAATTTTAGTTTTATTTTGGTTGCTATACCTTGACTCTGGCCCGGCATAGTACACAGCCACTGGTGTCAACCGAGTATAACCCACTAAACCCAACATAATAATAATATATACAGGCAAACAGCCTGTATCCAGTGAAAACTTCACAGGTTGCTAAATAGGTCTTATAAAAAGTAGAGCAGAATTCCTGAAATGTAGCCCAAATTATTTTTAAAGTGGCCCAAAAAGTAGTAAATCACCTAAATCTAGTAGCCTAGAGCCCTATAAATAACTGAGTTTGCTATTGTGAGTTTCCAGACAAGGTTCAAACTCGAGTAAACCGTGACATTCTTGCACGACACAAGATGTAAACAACGAGACTCGGAACTGTTCGAGTATGTGTCAAATTATCTGTCAAGGTCTTAGCAGAAGACAAACTCTAACACGAGCGCTCATAAATAGGTAGCTCATTGACTCACGAGTCTTTAAAATGTTGGCCGAGATAAACCTTTTCGAACAAAAAAAGGGAAATTTTTGATAGATGAAAGATGAAAATGATCGTTAAATTCTTAGACGTCAAAACATGGTAAACAATGGCCTGAGTTATGAGTGCAGGCATTATTGTTTTATAAACAGTCAGAGCAGAGTCAACAAAGAGTTATCAGATGGATACCTCGAATCAGACCTTTCCCGTGACCCGAAAAGGTTTTGCCTTGCACCTGGAGACAAAGGAGAGACCAATCAGGAAGCGAGGAATGGGACGAGAGACCAATCTGAAATGCGAATAGTGGGGAAAAACTATAAAAATTGGAACTTCAAGGTCGAAAGAAAGTCTCATCTGGATTAAGCCTATAGTTGTGCTTTATCTATTGTATTGTGCTACCGCCGATCACCTAGGACGCTGCAGCTTAACATCGAACATCTGCATCGTCCAGCGATCCTTCTCGTCAGCGGCGGCCTTATCCATTGCGAGGCTCTGGGCGGCAGATCTTTGCGAGGCCTTTGTCCTTTGTGCAAAGTATGTGAATTGAAATAGTAGGCACTTATTAATATTAATATATACTGTATTATAAATTAAATTTATTTTATTGTTATAGCTAATAGCCAAGGATAAAATAAAAAGTTTTAAATATCAACTTTTTTCTACTTGGTTGTTGCGCGAGGCCCCGGGCCATTGCCCTGCTCGCCACCCCCTAAGGCCGCCACTGCTTCTCGTCTCCCCGGACTATGACCAATCACCCGAACTCTCACTGTTCCATAGGAACACCGAGATTTTGGAATTGTCCAATATCGATGTAAGCATGAATTCGAACAAATAAATGGGTTTTCTCTTGTAAAACACTTGTTCTTCATTTGTCTCCTTCGCCACCACCCACATATGCAGTTTACCTTAGGCTCATTCTGACACGGGATTAATTGGATTCTCCTTTAACGTCGGCAAAACTTACACTACTCATAGCCCAATCTTGCAATCCCAAAAACCAGCTGTATTTTTTGAGATAAGAAAAAAGTGTAGTCCATGGGTAAGGTAAAACCCAAAAATATGTTACCACAAAGCAGAACCATGTTGACCAGATTATGGTTGTTCTGTGAGGCTCCAGAAATGTCCAAAAACAACACAAATCTAAACACCACTAAATTTGTTAATATTGTAAAATATAATTTTTATGTCCACAAAAAGGAATATTAAATATAATAGTGAAAAAACCTTTTCTCAGAAAATAGACAAAGGAAAACTA